TACTATACCTCTTCACACTCGGCGAGCGAACTCACTTCGGCCAAATAGAATGTCTCAAGCTCCTGGCATCGCCGCGGTTCGCGGACAAGCGGCTGGGATACTTGGGGACGATGCTGCTGCTGGACGAGAACCAGGAAGTCCTTACCCTTGTCACTAATTCCCTGAAGAAGTGAGCGATACGAACGGATTTCAAAATCTCTGCTGACCTTCCCAGTGACCTGAATCACTCTAATCAATATGTTGTTGGTCTTGCGCTCTGCACACTTGCAAACATTGCATCGGTCGAAATGTCCAGAGATCTATTTCCCGAGGTTGAAACCATCCTCTCAAGCTCCAATCCTTACATTAGAAGGAAGGCTGCCATCTGCGCTATGCGCATATGTCGGAAGGTGCCAGATCTGCAAGAGCACTTTGTGGAGAAAGCAAAATTGCTTCTGGCAGATCGCAACCATGGTGTCCTGCTCTGTGGTCTGACCTTGGTGACATCCATGTGCGAAGCTGACGAGGAGGAAGGCGGCGAAATGGGCGTGGTTGAGATGTATAAACCCCTGGTTCCGGCATTAGTCAAGATCTTGAAAGGTCTTTCAAGTTCCGGATATGCACCGGAGCACGATGTGACCGGAATAACAGACCCATTCTTGCAGGTCAAGATCCTAGGACTACTCAGAGCGCTAGCTCGATCCGATGCAAAGGTTAGCGAGCAAATCAACGACATTCTCGCCCAGGTCGCCACAAACACCGACAGCTCTAAGAATGTGGGCAACTCTATCCTCTACGAGGCTGTTCTTACCATTTTGGACATTGAGGCCGACTCTGGTCTGCGTGTGCTCGGCGTCAATATCCTTGGAAAGTTTTTGACCAACAAAGACAACAACATCAGATATGTGGCCTTGAACACACTTACCAAGGTGGTCAGCGTCGAGCCCAATGCTGTTCAACGCCATAGAAACACCATTCTCGACTGTCTACGTGACCCAGACATCAGTATCAGACGACGAGCACTGGATTTAAGCTTCACCCTCATCAACGAAGGCAATGTGAGGGTGTTGATCAGGGAGCTTCTGTCATTCCTGGAGGTCGCCGACACGGAATTCAAGCCCATCATGACCACTCAAATTGGAATTGCTGCTGACAGGTTTGCCCCGAACAAACGGTGGCATGTTGATACTATGCTGCGTGTTTTGAAGCTCGTATGTTCCTCTCTTCGAACCTTGATTCATCTGCTAATGGCTTCATAGGCCGGAAATTACGTCAAAGAGCAGATCCTCTCTTCGTTCGTTCGGTTAATAGCAACTACTCAAGAATTGCAGACGTATTCCGTCCAAAAACTCTACTCGGCTTTGAGGGACGACATATCTCAGGAAGCTCTCAACCTAGCCGGTGCATGGGTCATTGGAGAGTACGGCGACTCTCTTCTTCGAGGTGGACAATACGAAGAGGAAGAGCTCGTCAAGGAAGTTAAAGAAAGCGACGTGGTCGATTTGTTCTCGGGTATCCTCAACAGCAGCCATTCTGGCCAAATTGTGACTGAATTTATCATCACGGCTGCCATGAAACTGACGACACGTCTGACAGATGCGTCTCAGGTAGAACGGCTCCGTCGTTTGCTTGAGATGCATCAGAAGAACCTGGACGTGGAAATTCAGCAACGAGCAGTGGAATATGGTGGGCTCTTCAGCTACGACCAAGTGCGACGGGGTGTGCTCGAGCGGATGCCGCCACCGGAGATCAGGGAAGAGCAGAGAGTTCTTGGCGAAGCTAATCCGAAAAAGAAGAATGCTCGCGCCCCGAACCGCAAGAAGATTGCACCTGTAACAGAACAGGATATGTTACTTGATCTCATGGGAGACGGGCCAAGTGGCGCAACGAACGGGACCATCAATGGCAATCAACACAACGCGGATCTGCTCGCCGATATCCTCGGTGGTGACTCGTCCGCCACTTCACCACCACCAACGGCAACATCGCCGCCACCAAGGCAGAACAACATGTCTTCAATCATGGATCTCTTCGATAACAGTGCGCCGCCATCGGCTCCTACACCACAGCCCGGCGCCGCTCCGCCATCCGCTGCAAACGACCTTTTCTCTGGCATGACCAGCCCGACAGCAGAAGCACCTGCGACATCATCAGTGCCTACGCATAACGCATACAACAAGAATGACCTGGTCATCACATTTCAGGTGAACAGATCTGCACAAGCTATTCAAATTCTCGCCAAATTCAGAAACGATAGCATGTTTGAATCTTTCAAAGAAGTCAACTTGCAGGCAGCCGTACCAAAAAGTCAGAAATTACAACTGCAGGCTATCAGCAGCAGTGAGTTGGCAGAAGGCGCTGAGGCGACACAACAGATGCGCATCGTTAGCACGCAAGGGGTAAGTCAATTCTCATGAAATCAAGATTTTACAACAAGACTGACGCCCCGCAGCCACCACCAGCTAAGTTGAGATTGAGGTTAAAAATCAGTTATGCCAAAGGTGGCGGAGCAGCCATCACAGAACAGGTAGATTGGTCAGAGCCAGCATGAGAACGAAGAGTGTGGACGATAGTATGATTTCCTGAACAGCGTGACGAAATGGTCAACCGCATACCCAGCAAGGATTGTAGTTAGAAGAAACGACTACTGTGCGCTGTTTGACGCACATACGCCCCCAAAACGGATTTATTGACAATCACGTGGTTAAAGATCGCTTTCTGCGAGGGGCAAATGCAAATAGGCGATGGCGGGGTCCAGAGCTTTGCCGCCACGTCGCCGAGTCCGCGGGTGTGGTGCAATCGTTAGTCACGTCATCTGCCGTTTCGCGCCTGACTGACAAAGCACAAAGCATATGTCGAACCTCGGGGTTGCAATTGACAATTGATCTTCCATTTCCACAACCTCAAACCTCATAGAAACCCGCAATCAACTTCACCGCAAGGCCTCATACTCGAGGTTCTTCCACCAACCGACAAAATTTCCATCTCCGCGCTCTTCGCCCTTCCCAAGCGACTGTTTAGCAGTTTCGCCCCGAACAGCACCGAAGCAATCATGGCCGCCAAAACCAAAGCTCAGGGCATCATCGACCAGCACCCCGTTGCGGTCTTCAGCAAGTCATACTGTCCCTACTGCAAAGCAACCAAGGAACTGCTTAGCAAGGTCGGCGCCAAGTACGAGGTGCTGGAGTTGGACCAGATCGGTAAGTTTCTCCCAGCATGCTCATCTGCCGAGTACGAGTAGGGAACTGACGCATACAACAGATGATGGCAGCGCAATCCAGGATGCGCTCCAGGAAATCACCAACCAGCGCAGCGTGCCCAACATCTTCATCGGCAAGGAGCACATCGGCGGCAACAGCGACATCCAGGCTCTCTCAAAGGATGCGCTCAACAAGAAGCTGACTGCTGCGGGAGCTTTGTAGACGTAGTGGCAGCAGCGAATAAATGAGGAGGTAGAGTCATTATAACACGACGGTCACAAAATATATAGACACGCCGAATCGTATTCCCAGACCTCCTCCCAAGCCATATTCCATGACCCACCATGTCCTGCCTACAGCCCGTCCCTGATCCGTCCCTTCGCATCTACACCAAAGAAGCCAAAGCGCCCCTTCCTCGCGCCATGCCGATCGCTCAGCACCTCAACGCAACTCACCCACTCCGCATCCCGGCGGCGCTTTCCGCCCTCCCTGCCGCGCCCCGGCGCAACGACTCTGTTTCCTTCCCCGCCGGCGGACTTCTCCTCCTGTGTCGCAGTCGACGGTAGCCCGTACACTGCCCTCGCATCATCCGCCGTCTTCGGCACTCTGTGGATAAGAAGATGCACATCCGCCGAGTCCATGATCTTTGCGAACGCAGGGCGGGCGGTACACGAGGCGAATATCGATGGAGAGGTCATTGGGGTTGCTTTCGTTGCTGCCAAAGGAGGGCCGTGGTCGCTGGGTGGATGTTGGGGTTTTCGCCGCGGTGATCCGGCGGTCATGGAGAGGGTGCTGTTCGCGATGATGACTGCTAGGTCGTGCGCGTGGGTGAGGTGACGGAGCGAGCGTAGGAGGTTGGTCAGCAGAGCGGAGGCGCGGGTTGGGTCATTGCGTTGGATAGGAAGGAGAAGGGAGGAGAGATCGTCTAGCATGACGAACGAGCAGGCGCGAGATTGCTCGGGGTGGTCTGTTGTTCCTCCCTTCGGAGAGGGTCGCTGATGACATGGTATGCGTTGTTCGGCCTGACCAAGGCCGGGACCAGATGCTGTGGCTAGAAGATCTTCGTCTTCTGAGTTGTCTGAGATCTGAGAGTCGGGCACTGTGCTTTTGGGACCTGTATGAGGTGAATGTTCTGCAGATAACTCCCTGCCGTCATCTTCTAACGAAGACCGTAGCTCTGAGAGTGCTTCAAGCAGACCATCCACGTCGAACACACGCATGATCTTTACCCTGGCGAGGATCGATTTGGCTTGACCGTCCAAGTCTCGAGGTGGCAGGTTGGGATTGGTGTGCGGATGCAGTGAAAGCTTAGCTTTGATCGATGTGAATAGAGCCGGGATGTTGAGCCCTTGCGAGTCGATGATGGTAGCGTTTCCGCTGGTATTGAGGAGATGAGAAATGAGAAAAGCATTCAGGAACTGCAGTCTTCGAATCAGGAAATGCATCTCAGTCACCTGGATCTTCGATTGGACATTTCAAGGCCCACCTGTCGCAAGCTTGCCTACCTGTTTGCCACCAGCATCACTCTCACAGCTTGCCACACAGATTCCACCCTGCCCGTACTCCAATCCGCCCAGTATGGCATCGTCTACTGACCGACAAGCGGTCAAAAGAAGGGACGTAACATGGCTTGAATTGAGCACTGGTTTTGCCTGGTGTGCCCTCCAGAGAGCGGAAGCTAAGACCGGCTCTACTGGCGCAGCCATCATCTATGCACATTACCACGCTTCCACGCATGAGCATGTGCAACTTCGTTCCGTGTGCACAAAAGAGGCTCTCTAAGAGCTCTTACTGTCGTGAGACAAAACGGCAAAAGGATAATTCCGATGCGGGGAATTGAACCCCGGTCTTATCGGACCCTAAGAACTTTTGAAGCTCTATGAGAGCGATAAATGCTAGCCACTACACCACATCGGATGCTGATACATCACGTGATTATGATATAATAGCGTAATACTAGAATAAAATATATACTACACAAAACCAAATCTCATGTTTGCAACGACCTAGCATGATCCTCTCGGCACCATTCCAACTGGCATTTTCGTAGGTCGTCACTACTATGAGTACCACATCATGAAAATTCAACAAACTGCCCGAGTCAAACCACAAACTCGGCCTCCACTGTTTCATTTTTCATGATTGACATTTCTCACAGAATGGTTTTACTCGATGCACAACGCTACAATCATTGGTGGTCAGAGAGTGAACCATTTCTAACAAATGTGTCAAGCACATAGATTGTCGACCAGCGCGCAAGGCTAATAGCAAGAGCATTGACCTCGAAATAAAATACCATTGCGTAAGTGTCCTTGTTTCTCTCATTGAATCGTACGAGTAAAAGTCGATTTGCTGCATGTGGTCTTCATGAAACTCGACGAGTCGTGGTCCTGGTTTCCAGCACGAGTTTGGCTGGGGTTTGGCGGAAGTTTGCGGCTCGTCAGGCCCAATTTTGACGCGGACATGACGTCGATCAGCGTTCACATGTCAATCCATGCTAGGGACAGAACATGTGCAAGCTCTCAACCATCGCACCGCGTCCGAGGTCAAAATCTCTTCAAATAGCAAGCATACCTCCCAATTCATTCTTTTCTCATACCAATTGATTAGCCATGAATACCTGGAACCCCATACTGCTGGCTTTCCAGCTATGGCAGTACATACTCGCCAGGGCCCTCGCCCCTGAGCCCCCTCCACCAGGCAAGAAGCTCCACAGACCTAGAATCGCCATCATTGGAGCTGGTCTCACCGGCGTTGCTGCTGCTTCACACTGCGTTGGCCATGGCTTTGAAGTGACTGTGTTTGAGGCGGGTCCTCGAGAGCAACTCGGTGGTATCTGGAGCGTGAGTGCATATTTGATCCGGGCAGCAAACCTCTTGACTGACGACGTCCATAGAGAGTCAACAGCACTTCCGGACTCCAGATACATAGTGTCATGTACCGCTTTTTCCCTACCGTCTTCTGGAACAAGGGCTACCCCAACAGGAAGGAAATCGTCGATCAGGTCAAGAAGGTCTGGGAAACATATGATCTCGAATCGCGGACAAAGTTCAACTTCAAGGTCAACAAGATCAAGTCGGATGGACATGGCCGCTGGTATGTCAATGACAAGACCAATGGCAGATTCGACGGAGTTATCGCTGCTATTGGCTCTTGTGGTGACGCGAAGATGCCCCACCTGCCTGGACAAGAGAAGTTCAAGGGTGAAATCTACCACTCATCAGAGCTTGATGGCAAGCACGTCAAGGGAAAGGACGTCTTGATCATTGGTGGTGGTGCCAGCGCAATTGAGGCCATGGAATTTGTCGCCAAAAACGATGTTAACAAGGTCAAGATCCTGGCCCGATCTGAGAAGTGGATTATCCCGAGAAATGCCATTGTCGACATGCTCTTGGCCTTGAATGTGTTCGGCATGGAGACTGTCTTCTCTTGGATTCCTGAAAGACTGCTCAAACTCTTCTTCTATCGCGACCTCGAAGACATTGCTCCTCCCAGTGGTAGCGGCGGCCTCTACACCGAGACGCCGATGGTCAACAGCAACATCTTAGGCATGATCCGTTCCGGCACGGCTGAATGGCTCCGCGGCGATATCGTGAAGGTTGAGGAGGAAGGTATCAGGTTCAACCGCCGTGCTCAAGGTGTGCCCAAGAACGGCCCCGGCCACGAATCAGTGCAGAAAGGCCAGGTCATCATCATGGCTACTGGCTACGGCCGCCCAAGTCTGGAATTCCTCCCCGACGACTGCTTCGAGGAGCCCTACATGCCTCCCAATTGGTATCTGCAAACCTTCCCACCCGCACATATGACAATCTGCGCCAACAATTGCACCTACGTCAACGGCATCGGATCGGTTGGGAACTTCCACATCGGCATTTACACTCGTGTCCTGCTCATGTTCCTCATCGACCCTCTCACCCGCCCATCCGAGTTCTGGATGAAGAAGTGGATCGATATGACTCGCTTCATCAAGTCAAAGAGTCCCACTGGTGCTTTCGATTTCTTCACTTACAGCGAGCTCATCTGGTGGTTCCTCTTCTGTGTCACTATTAACCCCTTCCGCTGGAAGTGGGCCATTTGGGTGTTCACTGGCATCGGTCTTGGTCTGCCGTTGGCTGTCGTCGATCGCGAAGACCACCTCAGGAACGGGATCGGCAAGAATGACAAGGACACGACCGTCTATTGAGCCTGACGCCATCCAGCAAAGTTCTGGAAGTTGTCAGACCATGCTAGGGACAGCATGCTGGGTCGTTGGATGAGAACTGCTGACATCGTTGTAAACGTGCACAGTATGTTGTCCAGGGCTAATTCTCAAAATCATTAAAGCCTCGTACGGATCAATACGAGAGCAAAGAGACAAATCATAATTAGATAGACCTTTTCTCAACCACCTCCCCTTGTAATAATACCATGCCACATGTTCCATATTCAAGAATCAATCGTGACGGCGAAGCGTGCAATACGAGCGGAGGAAACAGGAAAGAATTTTAAACATGATCATTCCACGTTCAACAGCTAGAATACAGCGCTATCCCGCCATCCAACCATTTTTGATGTACAAATACAACCCAAGCAATCCCTCAGCCTCGATTCCCCCCCTCTCCTGGCTCTACTCTATGCCCCTCTCCCTTCCCTCCTCGCCACGAAATACACAACCAAGTTCTTCGTTGCATCAGGCACCTCCTCTCCGTCCGCAAGCGCGTTCCAGAATCCACTCTTCTCGCCCTTTCCTCTCTTTCCCTCCCCATTAACCTCAGTATGGCCATTCATCCCCTCCTCGGGCCAAGAAAGGTACATCTCAACCACACACTCAACAGCCGCCTTCCTGGTCTCAGCATCCTGCGCTCTCAGCAGCGTAGCGAGCCTCTTCTCCCCGCCGACCTCCCTCTCCGTCTCCGAAGAAGAGGAAGCGATACAGTCCCGCCACGCCCTTAGCGCAAGGGCAGTGGCTTTCGCCCCTGTATCCTTCGCGTCATCGTCCGACGCCATGGCGGCAGGGTATGACCACGCGCCCTCTCCCGCGGCACGGATCTGCGCATCGAGGAACGCGCCAATCACACCCTCCACCTCCTTCCGTGGAGCAAGGGCTAGGATATCCGCGACAAGCGCTTCGGCATCTTTCACCGGCAGTCCGGCGTCGAGCCACCTCCTGCCCTCGAGTATCGCTGATAAAGCTTTCGTTGGGGCAGAGGACGTCTTGCTCCACGCCTGCAGCACTGGTGATGGCGATCGCAGCAGCGCCTTCAGCAGCGAGAAGGCCTGGCGCTTGACCTCCGCGCCTGTCGTGCGGGACGTAGGCCGGTCGGGGACGGGTGTCGTGCCGGGCGCAGTGGAGAGGAACGTCGTCAGTGCTCCGAGGAGGTCGGTGTAGAGACGCGGCACCTCTCCGTCGTCGGAGGAGCCGAAGAGGTCATTCGCGTCGACGGTGCGCACGAGCTCGTTGACTTTTCTGTAGCCGTGGGTGTCGAGGGTGCGGGCGCGGATGCGCTGTATGCCTGACTGGAGGAGCTTGCGGGAGCGCAGCTTTTCGGCTTTGGATTGGGGAGAAAGAGGGGGCGATAGTGGGTCTGTCGTGGGCGGGGAGAGGACGCCATTTGTTTGGGGCTCCTCGATCGCTGGTGGAGGAGAGTGAGTCTCGTTTACTGGAAGCTCGGTGAGGACTGTTGGGGCTTCGGCGCCCGCAACGGCGGACGGAGCAGTGGTGGATGTGAAAGGATCCTCGTATATCTTGACTTCTTGCTCTGGCTCGGCTGGGGCGGAGAAGGTCTTGAGGGGGCTGCCTTGGCGAGATACTGGCTTAGTCGCCGGGTCGGGCTGGGGAGTGTCGCGTCGGTCGGGAGTAAGTGCCCTGGGCGACGCTATACGGCCATTCAGTGGTGACTTGGTGTGTACAGGCGACGACGCCATGCGCAAAGATGAGCGTGCGCTTCGAGGCCTTGGTATCGCTGAAGCGTCTTCTGAATTTGCTCGTGTTGGTGTCCGGTTCGACGCCGCTGCCAGTTTCTCGCGTTGAGCAGTGCTCGACGAATGCGCCGATGGGAGGACCAGCGTAAAGTCTTCCTCAATGCCCAGACCTTGCACTGCTGTATCGTATGATCTGGATGATTCTATCTCCGGGCGCTTCTTAGCGGCGGACGATGCGGTCTCTCGGCTGACAACGCTTGGCAGAACCATAGTGAAGTCGCCGTTGGATCTGCTAGAATCATCCAACGCCTCGAGCGCATCCTTACTCAATGGTCGGGTTTCTGTAGAGGACTTTGCAGTATTGTTTCTCAAGGGGCTTGCGGCAGGACTGCCAAGTCTACCGATCCGATTCCTAGCGATGGTGGACTGCGCAGCTGTCTGCCTGCTCGCCGTGCTATGAGCGGGACTCCGGACTGGACTCTTATTAGGTGTCTCGGGCCGCATCACTTTCCTCATAGCATAAGGATCGGCCGTGGCAGGTCGAGAAAGCTCTGGCCTTTTGACTGGTCTTCTCGCAGCACCAGACATGAGAGAGTTAGGACGGACGGTAGCTGTGGATGTAGAGGAAGATAAAGAATCTACAGTAGCAGTAGACATGACAGATGCGTTTGACACTATGCGCGATGCAGATGGTGGACCCATTGCTTTCGCTCTCGCGCTCAGATTGGCCATAGATTTTGACTTTGCTGGAGACATCGAAGCCATGGCTGTCACAGGTCTTCCAGGCTGCGCATTTGCAGCCTTTTTACCTGCGGCTATGCGGTCTCGAAGAGCAGATCTTGCCCCACTGGCACGACTGGTGGTAGATGCAGAGAAGCTGGCTTGGGTGGCGTTCGGATTGTGCGGGTCACGCTCCAGCGCAGATTTGACCTTGTCGTCGAACGAGTCCATCATGCTGTTCACTGTTAGAGGCAACTCATAGGCTACACTGGGAATGTACTCACGCTTCGGCTTTT